ACTTTTGTGAGGTGAAAAAATATTTTCTACATAATGATGAACTCTGCATCTGTTGATGATAACTAATTTCACTTTTTTTCCAGCTTAAATGATCAGTAATAACACTAATAACAGAGATACAGTGGAATCCTGATAAAGTCAACTTGCTAAAAGTCAGCTCTTGCTTACAGTCAATACCTCACTGTAGTTCCGTTTCTTACCTTCTTTGTTTAAGTTTAATTATTGTGTTTCTGATACAGTCAACTGCTTGAGTGTTAACCTTTCGTAAAGTCAACAATTTGGGGCTAAATCCTAAGATGAATTTATTCAAGAAGAGATTTTTTGCCTCAGCAAGTGGTGTACACACCTCCAATTACATATACGTACATGTGCTTTGTTCTTTCATTATCTCTTGTTTTGGTGACAACTTCAGAATAACACTCCCTGAAATTGAGATTACATCTTGTTTCTTACCGGTACCAGATACTTTGTAATTTTGTAGCTGTCATCTTCAATTTTCAATGGCCAGTAGTACAATGGATAAAGTCAACTTTGCTCAAAGTCAACACTTTTTTTCTGTCTGGGGTGTTGACTTTATCAGAATTCCACTGTAACTTGTTGTTATTTTAAATTAAAGCGCTTTTGTCATAGACATGAGTCTCAATTTTTTCCTTTTTATTAGTAAGAAAGAGTGTGTGTGCAATATTTTCCCTTGAATGATTTACTCTAATTGTGAGGCAGCGTGGTGAAATCAGCCGCTCGTCAAAATAATGAAAGTGACAAAAACTGGCATTTTCCCGCAGGTTTGGGAAGTTTTATTGAATTTTTTTTTCGCGCTAAACACCTTTTCATCCATACTGAAAAACGTTCATTACATGCACAAAATTTGTGATTTTTCAGTTTTAAAGGCTTTCAAGCTATTGAAGTTATCAAACTTTGGCGGCGTTTTCTCGCGAAATTTACCTCTGAAATCAGGTGACCCCACCTCCTTCAATCACAAATATTTTGACTTCTATTCAGCGTAGATGAATATTGTTTTCATCAAAAGGAAGGCAAATGGACAGGCTTTAAGATGATATCAATAACTCCGTATGCCTCAAAACTGACGAGCGCCTGATTCCACCATGTCGTGACACCTTTTTTTTTTTTTTAGTGCATATATTATTATTATGTGCATCATGTATGGGTGTATGCACGTTTTTCATGAATATTATGCAATGCGCATAGAGCAATGATTGTTTTACGGATTTGCGCAATATAAAATATGTCATATTATTTTTATCATTATAA